ACAACCCAACCTGAACTGTGGAATTTGAAGGTAACTGTAAAAAAATTCCATCTAGAAAAGCCATCAACCCTTATTCTTTAATGGTATAAATATTAAAGACATTTTACAGCATGTCCCTGTTAAGCTGACCCTGTACACAGTACTCATTATTTGTAACATTGCAACTAAGCTGAAATGTTAGTTTCAGCTGTTTACAATGTGTATCCACTTAAGAGTGGATTTATAAACATACATCAGTTACCAAGGCTGAAAATTTCTAGCATCTTTTACAAATACATTATCTAAGCATTATTCAAAAACTGGAACCATTGTCTTGGTGAGATGATTTCTGGCAGGTGTCTGTGGGATCTCCTGTCCCAATACCATTGGACTAGGTGTGGGCCACACGTCAGTCAGGAAGGATGGCGGCCTACACCTGTGCTCGCTGGCAAGGCCTCCTGCCAGGTCGGGGCCCTGGGCTCCCTTTGGTAGCCTGCTGGCGGTGGTGCTGGCCTGAGAAGAATCTTGTCTTACTTTTGAATGTTCCCTTCAAAACCGTTTTGAACCAGTCTGTCCACAGGTGCGTGCTTTCTCTGTCAGAGACTGCAATTAAGATATCAACTGCTATTTCCTTGATGGCAGAGGGGTAACGGGAGGCCGAGATGTACTACTCATTGAGCACAGTTTGGGATAGAGGCAGCACCTGGGTTTCTTCATCCAGTTTGGCAGTTGATCTGATGGAGAAAATGGCATCAAGTGACATTTTTCAGGTCGCAAAAAGGTAACATGAACAGGCTTAGAGAAGACTGTCACGGGGACCCACTCTCCCCTCACTAACTGTATGCAGCCTCTCTTTGTTTAAGAAGAGGTTTAGAATTTAAATCAGAGACACAATCTAGATTTTCATTGGATTCTTTTAAACCTAGTTTCTTAGAGGCATATCTTTGGTGTATATATTTAATTTTTAAAATATATGCATTTTTTTGGAGTTGATAAAATTGTTTTTTTCATTTCTTAATTTGATGTGACGCGCCAGCATCCCTCAAGAAGAACTATCAGCTGTTATATTCCCACCTCACAACTCCTCGTGGTTACTTAAGAGCAGGAACTGAAACAGCAATATCACAGTTAATAATAATTACAGCTATTTATTAAGTGCGTACTATGTGCCTGGCCCTGTCCCAAGCCCTTTTCCTATATCACCTCATTCAGTCTTCATGAGTGCTGTGAGCTGGGTACTATTATTTCCATTGTACAGATAAAGAACTGAAGCACAGAAATATACTTAATGTTAGAGAATTCCTATTTATGTTTGCAATTTTGGCTGAAATATTTCCTAGTGCAGAAATAGGTTATGTGGCAGGATTCTGCCGTAACCCGCCTCTGACAACCCCTTCCTTCCCGTCGGGGCCGTGAATCCTTCCCCACTGATTCTGAAACCTGTTCTGGACCAAAGCCGCCCGAAACAACCGACAACAGCAAGTCCTACGGCTCCAGGCCAAGATGTGTATCAGCATATCCCTTAACGTTTCTCCGAAATGAATCAGGGAGATCCCACTTCAAGCTAAGCAGCCCTGACTGGTTCATCCCTTCACCTCCTTGGTTCCAAGCTCAGCAACTACCCCTTGGGTGATGACAACCGAAGATGGGGGTCAAGGCCTGCCTCTCAGTCTGAGCCCCGCACTTTGCCAGTCACGAGGCCTGAGGCAGCCCCTTGAGCCACAGGCACTGGGTCTTTGGAACCAGAGTCCTTCAAATTAATTCCATGGCCTTGGACAAGGTACTTGAACTGCTGCAAACTTCAGGTTCTTCATCTGTGAAAAACACAGGATTATTGGGAGGAGTGACACGTGCAGAGGACCTGGCCCGGGGCAGGGGGGATGCATCCAAGGGCCACGTACTGTCAAGACATAACTCCTCAGGGAGAAAGTATCCGCGTCCAGGTAGATGCCAGGGGATTCCCAGGGAAAGGCGGGAGAGGCGGGACCCGCTCCGTCCTGAAGGCAGGGCCGGGAGCGAGCCGCACCGGGGCCGACATGCACTAGAAGGGAATCAGCCCTGCTGGCCCCGAACGGCCTCTTTTCTCATCTCTTTTCAGCTTCCAAATAGCACCTTCTCTCCACCAAGCAGCTGCGTGGAGCTTCGGCGGGTGTTCGATCCGACTCCGGGGGTAAAGTAGCCCCTGCCGCCCTCCAAAGCCCTCGACGTGGGTTTGACTGATGATGAGGACGGCTGTTGACACGCACAAGCGCGGGAACTGATGCTCTTACGTGAAGACAGCCAGGGTCTGAAAAGCCGGCCACGAACAGTCATATGCAGAAAGATAGAATGAGAAGTTGTAAGGAAAAAAGAGAAACGAGCAACTGCTTTTTCCCTGTATCCTCATGGTCTCTCCTTGGAACACGGCGGATTGAAAAGGAGGCGTCGTTTCTCTCTGGCTCTAGAAATACTGCATGTTCCGTAAACGCACATTACACGACAGCTGCCTCTCAGCATTCAGGGCTCTCCGGAAGGCGTGCTTACTTGCCACTGTTTTTCAGGGGTAGAGGTCTGGGGTAACACATTCCCTGACGTAGGACTTTCACCGTCGGTTCCTAATGAAAGGCCCAGATCTGAGTGACGGCCCTCTGCCCGCCCTCCCCGCCCAGGCGCCTCCTCCACCAGTGTCTCCCATGCTGACCTCTTCACTATTTTATTTAGATGTGTTCTTATAAACTATGGGTATGTGTCTTTTATTTAAATTAATGGGATTTCCTCCATTTATTCATATTATCTTTTATGTTATGTGATGGAATTCATGTTACGTGATAGAATTACACGATGGATAGCTCTGTATTCTTCATTAGGTTAATGCCTAGGTATTTTATACCTTTCAGTTTTATACCTAGGAATATAGTTTTTGGTTGTTATGTTTGGAATCTCATTTTTTATTGTATTTTCAGTTCTTTATTGCTGGTTGTTTTATTTAGCTATTATCACAATAATGCTAATAGCGTCAACTTCAGTGACTGGCGATAATAAAGATTCTTTATTACATTATTATATTCTATTGCTCTATCAAATTACTTATTGCTGTATATTAGTTAGCTATTACTATAGTTACGTGGCATACGAACCCGTCTGAAATTCAGGGACTTACAAAGCTAAACCCAAATCCATTTCTCTCTCCAGGTTGGTTAGGACTCGGCAGGACCTGACCAGCATCAGCAGGGCTGGGCTCTAGGCCATAGTGTGGGTGCAGGTCTCGTCTATATGCTCTTTAGTCTCCTTGGAACAATGGCTCCCTAAGGAATATTCTTGTCCTGATGGCTAGCAGGATGCAAGGAAACCAAACCGACCCATGCAGACAGGTTTAGAGCTCTCATTCAGGTCATTCGCCACGTGGAAGTCATATGGCCAAAGCTGACCTCACTTGGAGGACATGCTCCCTGCCCAAGAGAGGGCGTGGATATATAATCCTGGTAATAATCTCAACTGGTGTAGATAAATTCTATTGATTTGTATAAATTGAGCTTTTTAAATCCTTGCTGAACTCTCTTACCACTCTAATAGTTGTTGAAACTGTTGGGTTTTCAAGGAAGGCAATCGTTTAGTTTGTATATTAATGTCCTGCCCTTCAATGCTTAGTTAGACCTAGTATTTCTTTTTTCTTTTCTTGTACTTTTGGTCAGGACCTACTCTGTGAACAGTAGCTGTGATAGTAGGCAACTCTTGTCTACTCCCAAATCTTATAGGGAATTCTCCATTAAGCATGTTTACTATATGTTTTTGTATATAATATTAACAAGTTAAGGAAGTAGCCTTCTATTCTTAGTTTTTGAAGAGTTTCACCATAGTTGTTGAATTTTATTAATATTTTCTATGCATTGACATAATTGTATGATTCTTCTTGCGTGGTTGTTAATGTGGTGAGTTATATGGATAGAATTTCTGGCGATTATCTTTTATTTACATTTGAATTGCATTAACTTGTAAATGCCCTGAAAGACTCGGTTAGTTAATTTTTTAAAGCATCTTTTCTTTGATCATAAATGAAATGAACCTATATATTTTCTGTTATTTTTACAGTTTTTATCCCACTGTGTAAGATTCTAGGAGTCAGATAAAAAGAGGTTTTTAGGCTCTTGCTCTTACTTCTTTTCTGAAATAATTTTTACAAGGTAGGATTACATCTTCCTTACAAGTTGGCTAGAACTTACCTGCAAAGCTCTTTGAGACTGAAGCTTTTTGGAAGTAGAGATTTTTTTATTGCTATTTCAACATTGCTAATGTCTTTGGGCTTTGCTTTCCTCTTTCTTCCTTCCCCTCTTCTGCTCCTCCGTTTGCTGTAAACTCACATCAGCCTCACTTAGGTCATGGAGACCAATTCATCTTGTATAGCAATTTTTACCAATTCTTTTGAACAGCAAATAAAATTCCCAGAGAAATACTGTCTGCTGACGGGGAGCTTCGCATGCTGGTCTTAGCATTTTAATTATTTTCTACAAATTGATCCATCTCCCTTAAACATTGAGACTTATCCATTCATCAGGGTAGCATATTTATTAGCACACAGTTCATAATATTCTCACCATTTTTAATTTCTTTTGTGGCTGTGATTGTTTCTACCTTTTCATTCTGTATTTTACCTTATCCTTTTCTTTATTGGTTTTACCAGAGGTCATTCTTATTGAACTTGTCAAAGAACCAGTGATTGGTAATATTCTGTTTTTACTTTTTACTTATTTTGGCCTATGTGTTTATTATTTTATTTCTTTATGTTTGTACTGCTGCTTTCTTACAACTTCTCAAGTTGACTTGTTTTTTTCTTTGTACCTCATATTTCCTGATAAGTATATTTAAATGCAATAGTGTGTTTAAATGTAGATAGAGCTTTAATTTGAATCCAGCACACTTAGAAATGTATTATGGATGTTGTCATTTAATTTTACCCTTTCTGTAATTTTCCTTCTGTTGACCTTTTTGAACTCGGAGGTTATTTATATTGTTAAATAATTTTATATGCTGTATGGTTGCATCAATCCTTTATTCATGTTTTTGAGAGTCAAGTTTATTGAGTAGGGAGGCAAAGGCGGAAGGAGCAGGCAGGGCAGTTGGAAAGGTGCTGGGAAAATGGACGGTAGCTCCCTGGACGGTTGGCGAGTTGAGGGATTTGGGGATTAGGCCGAGCCGGAAAGAGTGCAGTTAGAGGGTTGGTTTGGAAGTTCGATGCATGGAACTGGGTTGTGGAGCGGTCACAGTCAGCAGTGATGGCAAAGTCAAGGGAAGCCTTCGAGCACTGAGAGAGGGCGAGGACACCCTCCCGATCCGGAGAGGAGGGCGTGTGCTGGGCGAGCAGGTGTCATGAACCTCACCGAACGGATGTGGCTTCGCCTGAGACCAACGACAGGCGCAGTATCGGGCAGCCTGACAGCAGCCAGTGGCCAGACCTTCAGGGGCCAAGGAAGCACGTGGCCAGGGGACCGCGGCGGGACTCGAGGCAGCAGTGAAATCTAGGAAGACAGCGACAGCATCTCCAAGTTCAGAAGGGAGAGGGGTATGAGGGCACCAAGAGCCACCCCTTGCGAAGACCTTGGGGAAGTGTCCTCAGGGGAGACCTGGGTTTTCGTTAGAGCCTGAAGGTGAAGGAAGGCACAGCAGAAAGATCAAGGATGTCAGTGAGGTGCTGATGACCGATGGTGACATCTGGGGGGCCCAGGGCTTCAGGACTTAGGAGAGGTTGGGAGGTGGGTCAGAGAAGGGGGTGTCGGTGATACCAGCTGTGAGAGAGACGGAATGAGCTGGGGGTCCTAAGCTTCCCACAGTGGTGGATATGAACAAGATGACAGGGACAACGAGATTAGCCACTAAGTTCTTGAGGTAGAAAAGGGTGGTATGACTGGGTGGGGGAGGCTTTGGAAAAAGAAGGGAGCCTTATAACTGAGGGAAAATCTATAAAAGGGTGCTGAACTCAAGAGCTCCCCGAGACTACTAATATCCTTTTTGTGCATATTTATTATATTTATGTAACATTCTTATGCCGTTTGTTTCAATAATTCTGTTTTGGAGGGCACATGTTGTTTAGATGCTATTGTTTCAATAAGGGTTGCTCTTATCAGAGAAGGGCCAAAGGTCACGTCTCTCCTGGTGAATTTAGGAGAGGAATGCAGGAAGGGGGACCCAGGCACAGGGCAACTCCACCCATCTCACTCCAACCATAAATTTCCTTGTTGTGGATTTAGCCTCAAATCTGTAAAAGCAGCAGCAGCCTGGACAGGCACGTGGCTAGAACCCACAGCCCCAGGGACTTTGGGAGGACCGCGGAGGGTGGCTTTGGGCTTCCTCTGGCCAAGAGGCCTTTACACACTGGCTCTGTCTTCTGTCCGGAATGCTGTCTGTCTGCCACCCTTTTCATCTCCCAGTTAAGTACAGCTCAGGGTCACTTTGCCAGGAAACCTTCCCTTCCTTCCAAGTTTAGACCTCCTCGTTTCATGTTCTCCTAGAACCTTGTTCCTTCAGAGCATTTATCTCAATTTGTAATTACATATTCATTATAATGATTATTTGATTTATGACTGTTCCCACGAGACTGTGAACCTCATGAGAGCTGGAATGGCATCTCTTTATAAGTCATATTAGCTCCAGTATTCTGTGTAGTGCCAGCCTTACAGCACACACTGGATGAATGAATGGATGAATGAACGACTTAAAAGAGGACAAGATGATGCTGAGAACTTTCCACTGGAGACAAGCAGTAAATAAGTGTTTCAAAAAAGAGGGGGGTGAGCTGGAGAATAGTTTATTAGAATTAGCACTGCCTATGTTAAGTAGCATTCTAAGATAAAGCATCATAAATTTCTCTCAATTGCCATCTATTATTTTTTCTTCTGTATCAGGTTTCTAATCTAATATGTGGAGGTGAGAAAGCACAAGCCAATAAAATCTTAAAAGGTGTTACAGGTGGAGATGAAAGTCATATACATTTATAAGTATATGTAAGTATATAATTTCAAGCCTTCATATGGAAAAATCACAGGGTTTTAACTCAGCAAAAATATTTTGGAAACTGCAGAATTAGCCTCAGCGACATGATTGATTGCAGATGGCGACGGGGACAAATGCAAAGCATAGTATTACAAGATTAAGTGCTACTGTTTCAGTTAAAGTAGGAATCAAAAGAGCAGAACATCCTCCTTTGAATTCTCTGAAGGATCAAATCTCACCTACTCTGCATTGCTCCTTCAATGAGTCAGTCTCGCTGAGAGAAGGCTTCCAAGAGTCAGGGTGAACGGTTTATGATTGGACGGCAGTGACAACCTGAAATATGTTCATTAGTCTATAATGTTTAACAACGGATTTCACTAAGCTGATTCCTCGCCCTGTCAGTGCTGTAGTTCGCGTGCCAAACCCACTTCAGTTTTACACACACATATTCCCCCATCGCCTTCCACTCTCCTCATCTGACATTCTGGAATGTCACCTTTATTAGCTTGTTGACAATATCATGCTGCTAACTAAATGGCACTTCTGCCCATTTCTATCAGGGTCCAATCAACATGGTTAGGCTGATATTTAGGGATTATAATGATATGTTAACAGTGAATAATTTTAATATATTCATTGTTTATTCCTCTGGTTATGAGGCCCTGAAGTAATGACAGTAGCCTTGTTTGATTTTATGTTTCTTTCAGCTGAGGTCATTAGTACACTAAAATATTAAAATGCCATACCTGATGTTTTTCTCTGCAATTAAAATCAGTTTATATTCTAAGTTATTTTAAAGAAAAGAGTTAGGAAGTGAGCCCTTTTGTTCAGTGTTTCCCCACTAAGGAACATTTGTTTTTATGTTTAAAATACTCTCATTATTGTAGTAGTAGCTTCAGCAAAATCAACTGGCATAACAATATACATATTATGTATCACATGAGATATTAACATACATCCTTGATACTATCATTCTATCTTACTACCCTCTCAGAGACATTTTAAATGAAAATCTCACATATTTCAGTTTATAGGACACTAAAATCCTTTTGAATCAGACTGACCTCTGAAAAGAAGTTCATCCATGTCTAGACATTTTCCACAGCCAATAATCAGTAGTGAGATGCACACACATATACCACACATATGTACACACAGATCAGTGGATGCTCACATATATAAATGCATGTATATTATGCATATAAGCATAATAAATATTATTAAATATTTGCATATATGGAAGATGTAGTGCAGGCAATGAAAGATTATAATGCCAATTAAAATTACGAAGTATAGTTGAAAACATAATTAAAAAGCAAATATCTGGTGAAAATAATCATTCAAATATGATAGACAAAGGGTTAAATACTTGGCATATAAATGGTTTATATTAATTCATGAGAAAAATATAAAGGTGCTAATAAAAAATTCAGGGGGGAGAGGGGACAAAGAACTTAGCAGACAGTTGAAGGAAGTGATACATACAAGAAAGAAAATATTCACCTTCACTAATGATCAAAGAAATGCAAATTATATTCAAGAAAATATTTCCCAGTACAAAGATGTATAATTTTTTTAAAGTGAATTTATGTCAAAATGGCCCACTAAAAACTTGAAAGTATTACTTCAAAGCAGTGTTAGGTTAAATATAAAAAAAGAAAGATATATTAGGGTTCAAAAAAGAGTACAAACCCATGTAACTCTAGAAACAATATGAACATTTTTTAAAGGCATAACCAACTGCTATAAACTTTGTATTTATGTATCTTTCAAAGAGAGAGTCAATTTTCCAATAAAATTAAAAGGCAAAGAGTTAATGTAAGAAGATATTTTTTAAAACCTGGAAACATAACCATTAAATACATTTAGTCATCAATCAGAAGTCCATCTCTAACACAGAATCACATATATATGAAAACTTATATGACCGAATGAGGAAATGTTGGACTATTCAATAAATGATACTTGGTAATTGGTTACTTATATGGAAAGATAATATCCTTACCTCATTTCATACACAGAAGTCAATTCCAACTGGAATGAAGATCTAAACAAAGAAAATTTTTTTTATCTTTATGACAACATACATAGAAAGATCTTTATAAACTTGTGATAGGGAATTAGTTTTTAATGTTGAGCTAAGAGCTCAAATAATAAAAAATACAATTTTGAATATATTAAAATTAAATTTTTCTGTATTAAAAATCTAAACAAAGCAAAATGATGATCTTGGAGATAAGAAGAATATTTGTAATTGACCAATATAATATATACACTTAAAATACTTAAAATACGAGTATTCTTTAATGATAGATTACTGTTACTGGCAATATGGCAAACCAGAGACCCAAAAGCCCTCTTAAAACATATAAAACTGTTTGATAAAATATGTACTTTCAAGTGAATAAACAAACCTGTGAGATAGCAATAAAATATGTCAGTGCCAAGATCAAAACAAAAACATCACTGCAGAGAGATAAGGAGGCTCTAAAACTTTTGGTTATGCTGGTATCATAGAGCAAAGAGTTCTGGAGGAAAGTCTTGGACTTAGCAGGACTGTGAACAATAGTGGAAACTGTCCCAAACATAGTCGGGCCAAGAGATGCTACACCTTCAATGAAGTGATGGACTAAAACATAAAACCACAGGGAAAACTGTCCCTCTCATCTTTGATTCTAGTCAAAGATTAAGAAAGTCTCCTGATCAATTATAGGACCACTGGTGAGCCTTCCATGGGTGTGATGCCTGCATCAACATAATTTGCATAATTTTAAATACATGAATCAAAAAAACATCATTTAAATTGAATCCAGGTCTGTAGTACCCTTCAGTACACAGTAAAAGAAAATGTGGTTTATCCCTAGAGAAAGTGTTATTCAATTCATGCCTCAAAAAAATTCTTACAAGAGAACAACTTCAAAAGCAAATCTTCCAGATTGAAATTATCAGTTACAACATATAGTTATATACAATATGCAAAAATGTATAATATACAAAATTGTGTTTAATACTCTTAATGAAGTAAACAATGGAAATAAAAATCTGATCAATGAGAGATTATAAAAATAAGCAGGAAAATTTGCAAAGAATGCAATAAAAATCCTAAAAATAAAAAATATAGTTAAAAAATATAGTTAACTATAGTAAAAAACAAACACGGTTGGTAAGTTAAGCATAAGCAAAAAGAAAACTAGTGAACTCTATTATCACAAGAAATTATTCAGAATGAAGCACAGAAAAATAAAATAAAAGAAATGTGAAAGATTTATCAACATGGAAGAGGGAGTAAGAGAAGTAAATGAAATAAAAGAAATGAAGGAGAGGAAATATTTAAAAGGAAGTCATGGAAATTTTGCTCAGAATTGATAAAAGGCATGAATCCTTAGATTCAGGAAGACTCATGAATTTCAAGCAGGATGTAGAAGCAAAAATTCATATCTAAAAATATCATAGTGAAACTATAATACATCAAAAACAAATAATATCACTTGAAAGAAGACAGAGAAAAAAGGTTTGTTCAAAAATGATTACCAATCAGAATGACAGCTGATTTCCCAATAGAAAAGATGGAAGCCAGAGACACTGGAATGACATGTTTAGAGTCTTGATATAAAATTGAAAGCCCAGAATTCAAGCTTACCCACTCTGTCTTTTAATAGTGAGATGTAAAAACATTTTCAAGTATACAAAAAAAAGTATCTATATCAAAATATACACTTCAATGATTCTTCTCAGAACAAATTTTTGAGAATACATGTTAAATGTGGATAAACCTAAACAAACAAAAATGAATATATAAAGCAATAATAATAATGTTTAATTGTAGAATTAAAATTAAGCAAAAATATTAAATAATAATTCTATTAAATCAGGTGGGAGTAATTACACTAAAATATTCTAAAGTCCTTATATTATTTAGAATAGGGTAAATAGGCTAACTTTTGTCTTTGTTAATTATAAATATCAACACTTCTACCATGAGAATTAAAGGAAGAAAAAAAACTCACCTCTTAAATCAATGGGTACTGGTAGAATGACAAAAATCCAAAATGAGAAAACATCCTGAATCTATTTTAATGAAAGAGAGAGAAAAAAGAGAAGGGCAGATTTAAATATATATTCTCAAAGTTAAATACATATATATTCCAACCCATTTCTCTGTAGCTTACTCATTTATTTCTCAACACTCTATAATCGTAACAGGTAGATACCATTATTATCCTCATCTACTTTTTATTACAGATTCTGAATGACAATAAAAATATCACATATCTGTTTTTTAAATTCAGCTAAAGTAATTATAGGAAATACAACAGTCTTACATTTATTTTTTAAGTTGTAATAAAAAACACACTAAAAAGTTGTGTTGACTTGTTTTCTTATTATTAAATACTACATCAATGCAATCTCAATCAAATTCTTAACTGTATATTTTGGTGGGAAGGGGAGAACATGTGACAAAACAGTCTGACCCTATATGGAAGGACTAAGGGCCAAGAACCAAGAATAGCGCAGTGTACTGTGGTGCGGGGACAGACTGGTGGAACCTTACAAATGCAGGTATAGCCCCTGGACCCACAGATTGGTAGCCTTACCTAGGAGCTTGTTAGAAATTCAGAACCTTTGGCTCCAACAACCCTAGATCAACTGAGTCAGAATCTGGCTTAACAAGCTAGCCCAGAAGAAGGGGAAAAGATGGTTTTAACAAACAATTCTGGGGCAACCAGTAGCTAAACACGAAAAAAGCAATTGTATCAAAAGGTACTGCTTGTTTGTATGGTACTCAATACCCTTACAATCTATGACCAAATTTCTGAAGAACATCTGAAAAAAATCCATAAGAATAAAAGTGAAGGCAAAAGGAATGATCTGAATGCCCATTTTCCTGGGTGTCTCTGTGTCCGTATGCCTGAATCTATGCATCATCCTGTTCATGAGCTTTTCTTAGGTCCCCAACTTCAGCATGTCTTTGTCTTCTTTAAAACTTACAATTTTAATTTTGTGCAGTTTAGTAGTGTTAAGTGTATTAGCAGATGTCCACGACTTTTTCATCTTACCACACTGACACTCTGTGCCATTACATGACTCCCCTTTCCAATCTCCCCCAAGTCTCTGGCAACCACCATTATATTTTCTGTTTCTATAAATTTGACTACTTTAGACGTCTCATATAAGTGGCACTATATACAGTACTTGTCCTTTTGTGACTGGCTTATTTCCCCTAGCATAATATTCTCAAATTTCAGTCATTTTGTAGCATGTGACAGAATTTTCTTCTTTTTTAAGGCTTAATAATATTCCTTTGTGTGTATATACTACATGTTACTTATCCATGCATCCATGGGTAGACATCTGGGTTGCTTACACATCTTGGCTGTTGTGAATAGTACCGCTCTAAACATAGGTGTACAGATATCTTTTTGAGACCCTGCACTCAATTCTTTTGAATATACACCTAGAAGTGGGATTGCTGGATCATGCGGTACTTCTTTTTTTAATTTTACAGGAACCCTCTATAGATACACCATGTTTTCCATAGTGGTTGCACCAACTTAGAACCCCACCAACAACATGCAAGAGTTTCAGTTTCTCCACAGCCTTGTCAATACTTAATATTTTCTGTTTTTTTAGATATTAGTCATCTTAAAGGTATAAGTTATATTTCATTGTGGTCTTGATTTGCATTGATCTGATGATTACTTATGTTGAGTGTCTTTTAATGTGTCTGTTGGCTATTTTTATATCTTCTTTGGAAAAATGTATATTCAGGTCCTTTACTCATTTTTAAGTCAGATTGTATTTTATGCTATTGAGTTGTATTAGTTCCTTATATATTTTGGATATTAACCCCTTATGAGATCTATCATTTGCAAATATTTTCTCCCACTCTACAGGCTGCCTTTTTTTGCTGCTGATTGTTTCTTCTGCTGTGCAGATGCTTTTTTAGTTTGATGTTGTCCCACTTGCTTGTTTTTGTTTTTATTTCTTGTGCTTTTGGTGTCACAGCCAAGAAATCTTTGCCAAATTGCACATGTGTTTTTTCAAAAGGCTGCATGCTGAGGAGCTAAATGTTCAACACAAGAAATGAGAAAAACAGAGTAAACCTAGAAGTAGTACAAAGAAAATTGAAAAGATAGAAAGAATGAAACAGAAAACAAAATACACTATAGCATATAAAGATACAAAAGTTTGTTATTTGAAAAAATTAATAAAATTTGCAAGCCTCCAGCATGTACAATAAAGAAAGAAAGAGAAAGAACAAGTGCACAAATGAACAACATGTGATAAAGGGAAAGAGACATATTGAACACACCAGAATCTAGATTAGAAGGGTACAGGAAGGAAGGAGTGTCTCTCACTAATTCTACTGACTAACTGGTAATCGTATCCCTAGGAAATGGTTTGAAAGCAGAATGGTCTACAGTCAAGCACAAATATTCTTAACCGTTTTGAATCCCAACCTTGCCACCACTGTCTTTGTGTAAATTATTTAACTCTGTTTCCTCATCTCTAAATGGAGATAGTAATAGTCCCTTCCTAATAGGGTTAAGTTAATAAAAATAAGTTAATGGTTACATGAGGGTAGACACATGTCAAAATTCATCAAGCTGTTCACTAAGATTTGTGCATTGAATATAAAATATAAAATCAATATAAAAATCTTTTTAAAATGTGCACAATAAATAAATTGATTTATTGTACCTGTCCTGCACTTTCTAAGTGTTTACTGCTGCTGAAGTAGGATTTGGGATGACTCTAGCAAGCAATATTCTTGTGACTCTTCTGTCTGCAGCTGCACTTTTCTGAGCTCTTCAAGTCTTCTTAACATGCCAAGTAAGGCATAATGAAAGGGCGAGCAGACGAAATAAAAGTCAGAAGTTACTTTACAACAGTGCTTGTTAGAGGCTGGAGGAGAGGAAGTGAAACTTAATAAATGAGTCTTTTGGAAATGCACACCTCTGCACGGCACAGCTCATTGAGAACTGGCTGTACTGGACTACATTTTTACAGTAACTAAATGGAAGCAGTTTCCCAGTTTAAATCATGCAGTTTAAGTCAAGTTCCAGTTTAAAAATGTCAATCAGTCAAATCAATCAATCAATCATGCTGAGTTCTTTTGGTGCAACCCATTTTATTTTAATAACTGTCGACAAAAACATGTACTTTAATTAAACAGACACAGTGATGATGAAAGCAGAATGGTGGGAAAAGACACACTGTGCTAGCAGTAAACATGGGAAAGCTGGTGTGGCTTTGTTAATATTTGATAAAATAATATCCAAAACAAGACACATTGTCAGACACTTATTACCTTTTATCACTGCTAAATGGAAACACCTAGGAGTGTAGAAAGTTAATTCCTTAAGGGTGCTCTCTAGAATTGTTTGCTAACGATTTAAACAGATGTGTACTTACAAACAGATCAAATTAAATAAAAAAGAAAAAATACAGGCAAATCCATTATCAAAGCTGGGGATTCTGGTCCTCATTCTCAATATATGCATAGAACAAGTAGAGAGAAGTAAGTCAGAATATCGAGCCTGTGAACAGACTATGAACCACCCTGAAATGTGTGACATTTCCAGGGCGCGCGGAAGCGTCCTCCGCGGAGGCCACGTGACAGGCCATCACATAAATCAGAGAACTTTCAAAAGATTGAGATTGGACGCAATATGTGTCTCAACAGATCCTGGCTAGAAATCAGTAGCAGAGAGATAGCTAGAAAATACTCAAATTTTGAAAATCAAGCAATACACTCCTAAAGAACCATGAGCTAAAAGAAATGACAAGGAAATTAAAATGTATGCTGAACTGAGTGATATTTCATAATTCGTGAAGTGCACTTAATTAGCAGAGGGAAATTTCCTCTCTAAGCTAAGAACCTTTAAGAAACTAAAAGAGAAAATCAAATTACTCCCAAGCACACAGAAGAAAGGAGATGAGCGTCAGAGTGGAGGTCGAGGAGGCGGGTGTCAGAGGGAACCAACGAAGGTCGGATTTGCTTTGGGGAGAATATTAATACATTTACTCGACCCTATCAAGTCTGATCAGGAACAACAGTACTGACATCAGTGATGAAAGTGGGGACAGCACTACTGATCCGACAAATATTACAAATGTAACTAGAATATATAATGAAAAATTTTATGACAAACTAAACAATCTAGATGAAATGGACAAATTTCTTGAAAAACATAGATGTGAAAACAGAAAAGCTGAAGAGACCTATACCTATTAAAGAGACTGGATTCACAATAAAAACCTTCCTATAAGAAAACTTTAGGTACAGAAGCTTCAGTGGTGAAGTCTATCCTATTTGAGGACAATATAATATTAACCTTACACAAACCCTTATTAAAAAAATAGGAAAGAATAAAACACTTTTCAGCCCACTTTATGAGACCAGCATATTTTAATAAACGTATTATAGGAAAAGAAAATATTCCTCAAAACACAGAGGCAAAAGAAAAATAGGAAAAAAATAGCAAAATGTTCGAATGCAATACCAGCATTATTTCTACATTAAGGATAATACAGCCTGTTCTAGCAGTGTTTCTAAGGAAAGCCAGGCTCCTTTAACATTCGGAGATGAATCTGTAGTTCATCACATTAGCAGAATGAAGAAGATACTGTGATCATAACAAGACGTAGACAAAAACATTGAACAGAATTTAGCATTTGTTCATGACAAAAGCTTTAAGCGAACCAGGACTGAAAGGAGATGTTTCTGATCTGGTAAGAACATCTCTAAAAAACCTACAGCTAAAATCAAACTCTGTGCTGATATATGGGACATTTTCTCATAAACTGATCTATAGATTCAATAAAATTCCAATAGAAAGACCTGAAAATGTTTTGTAGAAACTGAAACATTCATCATAAAATTTATATGGATGCACAAAGGATCTAGATTAACCAATGTAAACTTCAAATAGAAAAAAGAAAACATTATAAGACATATACTATCTGATTTCAAGACTTACTATAAAGCCATTGTAACCAAGATGATGTGGTATTAGTATAGGATAGACAAATGTTCCTTGATATAGAAGATAAAAAGAAGGTAG